ATATATATACCAGGTACATACTTAATATGTTCCAAATACCATCTGCACCTAATAAGTGCCAGGTATATATGGTAAATACTATGTGCATACCATATAAGTAGAAGATTTGTAACTTGTGAGTAATAAATATATGCCTAGTATGTATGTGGTATTTACTAGATAAGAATAAGGAATAACTGCTAGATAACTACCTGGTATGTACAGGTAAGTACAATATATTTGCCACGTAAGTACCAGGTAGCTATGTATCCAGTATAAACCAGGTAAGTACCTGGTATGTACCAGGCAGGGACATAACTGTTATTTACCAGGTAAGAACGTAATTATCCCATACATGGTATTTACCAAATAAGTACCTGGTCTGTATTCATTATAAACCAGGTGTGTACCTGGTAAGAACCTGGTAGATATAAAGACATGCCTGCTATTTACCAGATAAGTACCTGGTACATGGAGCAGGTAAGTAGTGGTACATACCAAATAAGTATGAAATGCATCCCCATTAGTACCAATTTTGTACATGATATTTACTCTATCAGTGCCTGGTGTGTATCTAGTATTAACAAGTAAGTGCATAATATATACAAGGTGCATATCGGGTACTTGCCTGGTATGTACATGTATAAAGTAATGACCCAGTACATATGATGCTGTATTGTGTATTGTGACCCAGTGTTACAATGTATCCATTTCATAAGAAATGATTGACATATAATCTCTTATATTGAATCAAAATGTGCAGATTTCATTGTAGTTACTACACAGGTCAACTAGATAGCTTTGTATTTTATCCGTCTTTTCATATAAACACCAGTTCATTGACTTTATACTCTTTCATTTAAAAAATATGTACATTTTAAGCCTATGCTACAAGTAGAAAAACAGTTAATTGATGGAAAATATTGTTTACATCTATAAGAACTTGTCCCCTGTTTTTGTAACTTCTTGTTGGATCCCCCTCCCCACAGAAATTTCTAGTAAAGACAGTAACACACAATGATTTCGTGGAATGAAGTACTCCTGCCAAAATACACCAGAGTAGACCCACCCTATGTAAAGTTATCTGCTGCTTCTGGGGGCGTCTCCTTTCTGGGAGTTCCAAATGTAAATAACCCCGCCCACCTTTTACGCTGATTGGTCAATCTGTGGCGTAAATAAATTTCCTCTTCTGCCATTGGCTAAAGCTCTGTTCTTTTCCAGACGCGGACCCTCCTGTTGATCGATGGTTCACTGAGAAAAACAAACACCACTAACCCCGCCTCCTCTTTACTCTCATTGGCCAGTCTGTGGAGTAAATAAAATTCCTCTGTTTCCTATTGGCTGAAGCGCTGTACTTTTCTGCACGAGGCCCCTGCTGTTGTGAATTGCTGCAGAGAGGACAAGCTGTGGTTTAGTTCGGAGTTAGCTTAGCACCAGATGCTGTTGACACAGYAAGACACAGAAAGGAGGCGCTGAAACTCCCACGAAGCTTGTAAAAAATGAAGTTCGTTCGTTTTATTATGAAAAACGCCGCTCTGGCCAATGCGCCGAAGCACATCGAACATTTCTCTAAATTTTCTCCGTCGCCGCTTTCCATGAAGCAGTTTCTGGATTTCGGTGAGTAAATGAAGCTTCTAAATTAGTTATTTCGCTGATATCTAATTATAAAGCAGCTAAAGTTTGCAATAAATGGTCATATTGTGATTCACGTTGGTATGGAAGGCCGCACGTCTGCTGTTGTGTAGTTGACGGACAGACTGGGCAAATGTTGCATCAGATCTGCTGCAAGCTCAGGCTAAAGAGAAATACTAACTATTCATCAAAATAAAACTTATTATCTGCACATAAATGCATCAAATATTGACGAACACAGATGTCTGCATGATTAAATGAWATTTACATTGCAAAATGCATGAAAAGATAAATGTTTTTTTGTTTTTACTAACAACTTTTTGTTGTAAATCTTGAGAAAATAGTTGTTTACTATAAATATTACTTTAACATAACAAAGGTTGTCATAAAATGTTATWTTCACAGCTGTTAAGTTCTCAAAATTATCATGGCAGTTTGTTTGGTAGCACAGAAGAACCCAAAAAAAGCAGCAAAATTAAATATCTGTGCATGTAAAATGGCTAAATTAGTGTAATTTACTCCTTATCAAGTGTGCTTTTTTTTGTTTTCTTTGTGTAATTTAGGCTCCATAAACGCCTGCGAGAAGACCTCCTTTGTTTTTCTGAGGCAGGAACTCCCTGTGAGACTCTCAAACATCATGAAGGAGATCAACCTCCTGCCTGACAAAGTGCTGCTGACCCCTTCGGTGCAGATGGTGCAGAGATGGTGAGTCCAGCTGCCAAATCTGGGCTGTGACCTATCGATCACCTTCATGTGTTATCTGGACCGCAGCTTTTTTTTTCTTTTTTTTTTTTACTGAACTCTAACATCACCCTAAAACAACAGAGCAGTAAAATCGGTACCTCCCAGCTTCATTGTGCCACTTTGTTTAATCCTGCTTGTTAGCAGGTTTTATTACAGCTGCTAATTGGCTCTGGATTCTCTGGGCTGTATTTACCCTCATAACTTGCATAACGCTCCGAATCAAAACAATACCCTTTGACCAAGTTGTACTCGCTCCAGCTGGCTGTGAGGAGGATGGGCTCTGAACTTTACCCCAGTTTCCACGTCACACACCCACGTGACGTGTGTTTTTTTTCCTCAGTGGTCTGCTTCTGCCTCTTGTAGTGAACTTCCATTTTCTGCAGAGGCACTCAGTTTTTTCTCACCGTGTTTTATCTCTGTTCTCCTCAGGTACAGTCAGAGTTTGATGGAGATCCTCCACTTCCTAGACAAGAATCCAGACGACCACAAAGTGCTTTCAGAGTAAGGCTTTATGTCGAAATATTTTTTAGTTAAGTTTATTTAAAAACAACATAAATTCAACGTACAACAAAAAATACAAATCCTAAATGAAATGAAAGGCAACAGAAGAAGAAAAAATCTAATTCTATCTGCCCCTTTTTCTCAAATAAATAAATTCAATCAAAAATAATCTTTACAAAAACAGAAAAATAATAAAGGTTTAACTCCTTGAACAGCATACATTTACATATGTCTCCAGCAAATTAACCTTTATCATTCTAAATATGTTCTAAGCTGCACAAAAACCCAAATCATCGGTTTTAGTGTCATTTAACAAACATAAAAAAGTTATCCTTAATTAACTGAAACAGTGCAGTTTGAAACAGTTTACACAAAGTTTTCCCAGCTGTATATATCTATGCAGGTACGCAGTCAGTGTAAACAAAGTTGAATCTGTTGACAACCATATGCAAGCTTGAGTTACATGATTGAGTAATATTAGGTTGGCTGTAGTCTGTGTATGTAAACAAATATGACTGGTTTTATTAAACATTAAAACATAGTAATCAACAACAAATATTTCTTAAAAAAAACTTTCAAATAAAGACACATAAACCATCAATATGAGAAAAAAATACTGTGCTGATTTTTTGCTCAGGTTTACTCCCACTGACAGCTGGATGTCTGTTGTTTTTTTTTGTTTTTTTTTTTCTCCTCTCCAGGTTCGTCGATGCCTTGGTCACCATCAGGAACCGACACAACGACGTGGTGCCAACCATGGCGCAGGGCATCATCGAATACAAAGAGAACTTTCCCCAGGACGTCGTCACCAACCAGAACATCCAGTACTTCCTGGATCGGTTCTACATGAGCCGCATCTCCATCCGAATGCTCATCAACCAACATAGTGAGTCGGCAGCGTTTCATCCTATTTTGTGTCAACATATTTAAAGCACATTTATCTAGATGTATTTATATTAGTATTTTAGTCATTAGCCAGAAGGAAGAAAAATAATAATAAAATGAAAGAAGAAGAAAAGAATCTTATATCTGCCCCTATTTTCAAAATATAATATTAATTTCAAACAATAGTAATCAAATAATAAAACAATATTCTAGATAAAGATTTCTACGTAATGTTCATTTTGAGATGCAAAAAAAAAACATTTTAGGAGTAAAAGTGTTATTATCTGTCACTTGTTGCACTGGTTTGCATTTATCTCTCAGGTTATTAAGTGGAGATAAATCTACTGCTTATCTCAGTTAAAATAAGATATCCAGTTCAGTTCCATCATCTGATCAAAACAACAAGCTAAAACAGAAAACAGAGTCATTAAGGCGTTGTAAARCTCATCTTTTATTCCTTATCAAAGCAGATAACCTATCTCTGTCATTGTTTACGTGCGTTTCGCTGCCTTCAGCTCGGAGTGAAAACCTGTAAGAGCAGGTGTTGAAGAGATAGAGGAGGGGATAAAAACAAAAGTAGGTTGAAAAGCACCCTGTTGATCCGGTTCGATCTTGTTCCGTTCAGAGTTTTTGTTTGTCTTAGATAGCTTGAGTCGCCCCGGCATGGGAGACTGCTGATGCCTGCAGAATCCAGGGTTTCAAAACTGCTGTTGCACCAACGTTTATGACTTTACGTAACCCAGAATGTCCCGGACTTTTTCCACATGAGCGAGTTTTAATTCGGAGCAGTTTCAGTCTAACATTTAGTAACTCGAGTTCTTTTTCCAAAACAAGTGAAGGACTCATCGGGCATATCTAACCCAGGAGGTTAAAAAGTTACTCTTTAGTTGCACGTCTGCACTAAATACACACTCCTCTTTAGTCTCCCTTAAGTCAGGGGTTCTTAACCTTTTCGACCTCGGGGCCCAATTTGTTGAACGTAAAGTGACACGAGGCCCAGTCAGACATTATCAATGTATGGATCAAAATGATAATTATTCTAAATCTTGTTTTAATTTTTATTGTATTTACATCWTAACTAAATTAWATACACTTACAGTTTAAAAGTAAAACTCCTGTCAAATAATCACAAGACATGATTATGACAAACATTTTTATATTGTAACCTGCCCATAACAATTATTTGAACAAATACAAAGGTCAGTCAACAGACCACTCTCTTGAGACCTCATCTTTACAGACCACTTAGGCTTATCAGCACAAAAATACATATTTTTTTAACACAAACAAGGACAAAATGGACAATTCAAAAAATAAAATTGTGGACATAAAATAAATAAATTTAAAATGTTTAATGTAAATGTTTCAAATTAAAAAAATATGTAAAAATAAATTTGATAAAGTACAAATGAAAATAGACTTTTTAAACTTTTGCAACCAGAAGCTGCTCTTCATATTAGTGACAAACGTTAACAGTAACAACAGCTTTTTGACAAGTTTAAATTTTCTTCAAAATACATTCAAAATGTTTAAAAATAAACCACAAAAATTAATTTAAAGTGCAAATTAAAATATAGCTGTATTGTAACTGTATTTGATAATGTTTTGAACTTTTAAAATATTGCATGGTAAAKGCAGAAGCTGCACTTCGTATTAGTGACAAACTGTGGCCTTTTTTGATGGTTTACCTTCATTTTTGCTTCTACTTTTAATTTAAAATAAGTTTCCATTCTCGACAGTTTTCTAAGTTTCTTCTTCTACATATTAAAAAAGTTGTTTAACATCTGAGTGGCGCACTACTGCTACTAGTGGTGAGAGAGTGTATTGCACCGTATTTAAAATCAATGCGGTCCCACGGCCCTCTGCGGCCCAAAGTTAAAAACTGTTGTTCTTTTGAGGCCCTCAAGGTGGTGCTCACGGCCCACAATTGGGCCGTGGCCCATGGGTTAAGAATCTCTGCTTTAAGTCATCTCCTGCTTTCTGCAGCTCTTGTTTTCGACGGAACGACCAACCCGGTCCACCCCAACACCATCGGAAGCATCGACTCTCAGTGCCAAGTGGGAGATGTAGTCCAGGGTAAGTGTTCATACACAGTAGTTTTTGTTTTTGTTTTTTTGCACTTTTTTTTTGTTTGTATTTCGTATTTAGTCGCCTGTTTTGTATTGTCAGATGCGTACTGTAGTGCCAAGATGTTGTGTGAACAGTACTACTTACGCTCCCCTGATTTGGTCCTACAGGAAATGAACCGTGAGTTGTTGGTCGTTTTTTGTTTTTTAATCCTCTGATGTTTAAAGATCAAATCAGGACATGTGCGGTTCTGCCTGTTCAYTCTAAAATGAAGTTTTCCTTTTGTGCAGACAAGAAGAAGAATCATCCAATCACCATCGTGTATGTGCCCTCTCACCTCTATCACATGCTGTTTGAGCTRTTCAAGGTAACACCCCCCACGTTTTCAGTTGTCCCACCAATGAAAAAGACTTCTAACAACAAACTGACATCTTGAGTTTTCCTCTTTTTATCTGGTAGAACGCCATGAGAGCGACCATCGAGACGCACGACTGCAGCAACAACCTCCCGCCCATCAAAGTCCTGGTGTCTCTGGGCGGCGAGGACATGTCAATCAAGGTGAGCCGCGGAGGTCTTCGGAGATTTTTTTTAGTGGGTTTTGTGAGAAATAAACAGCTCCTTATTCACAAATTACATAATACAAAATTCACATAGWACATAATCCACAGTGTGTGAATCAGGTCTGAAAGGCCGAAGTCGCCGCCCCGTCCCGGTTACATAACGTGCGTGTTCTGGTTTCATCACGGCTCCGATCGCTCCGGTTGTGTTGAAACTTACAGAGCCTCTGAACTCTGGCTCGGGTCACCAGGACCTGGTTTTATCTGGTCGCTTTGAATAAACAACAAGCCAWTGATTTGAACTCAGGTTTTAGGGCTTCCTCGATTTAAAACTCCTTTTTTTCCGGTCCTTCTATGAACTCCAGCCTCGTCTGAATGCAGACACTGATCCCCGRTTTCTGCATGTTTTCAACTAAATGATTCAAATTAAACCAACAGATCCTGATCGAGCAACTCTTCTCTGGTTTTTCCCTCCGTCTGTAGGTGAGCGACAGGGGTGGCGGCGTCCCTTTCCGCAAGATCGAGAAGCTGTTCAGCTACATGTACTCCACAGCTCCAGCTCCTCAGATAGGAGACCACTCCAGGACCCCACTGGTAAGGAAGGMTCACCATTCTGAGTTTAACTGATCAAACATGCAAAATTACACACAAGCTGACTGAAACCTGGAAGAGAAAATTAAAAAGAATAACTATATAAACCATCAGTTTCTTCATTTTTAAGCTATTTTAGGATAATAACGCTGGCTTTCTGCCACATCAGGAGTTACAACAAACAAACGTCAAAGTCTGCAGCTAGTTTTACTGCAAATAAAATCCTAAATAAATAAAATATGAAGTTATCTACATAAATCCTTTTTATTAATTCACTTTAATCTTCCTTCTTTCTGCAGGCGGGTTTCGGCTACGGTCTTCCCATCTCTCGTCTCTACGCCAAATACTTCCAGGGCGACCTGCAGCTCTACTCCATGGAGGCCTTCGGCACAGACGCRGTCATCTACCTGAAGGTGAGCCGAGTGTAGAGCTGGAGGAGGTTTTAAACCCTGCAGCGAAACAACTAACTTTAGAAATGTTCTGCTGAAGTGCAGCGAGTTAAAGGAATTTGCTGAAAACTGCTGAGYAAGCTGAAACTGAAAAGGAGGAGACGTAGCTAAAGGAAGGAAAATGCTAACAAAATGTTAGAATAGCAGAGCGCTAGCTAAAAACCAAAAATAACACATGGCTAACCAAAAGAAGCGATGTGCTAGCTTAAATCCTCGATTGGATTTAAAGAGACAGCCTCAAAACGAGTCGATCTAAGGCTCAGAAAAGGGGCGGGGCTTGTGGAGTTACAATAAGGAGGAATTCAGACCAAAGTGTTGCAGGCCCACTTTATAAAGACCCCCAAKTAAAGGATTTAAATGRGACAACGGAGGATTTAAAAGCATCTTAAGTCTACTAGCAAAAGACTAGCTAAAAGCTACATTTAAAGACAACTYTAGAGCGTTTGTCCTGAAGCACGTTAGGATTAGGGTTGAAGTCACAGCACTCAACTCAGAACTTTAAAGGCCGTTGTACTCAGTTTTTAAATTAGCTTGTTTTTTTCCRGTGTCCCCTGCAGGCTCTGTCCACGGACTCCATCGAAAGGCTGCCGGTCTACAACAAAACCGCTCTGAGGAACTACAAAATGAGCCACGAGGCTGACGACTGGTGCATTCCCAGTAAAGAACCGCTGGACCTGCGGAACTTCAAGACGGCTTAGAGAGGATCTCTGCAGGCGCCAAACTGARGCGTCACCGCTTTTAAAAAAAAAAATCAAAACGCGACGCGGATCCTCCAGAAAACGTCCCTGTGTTCCCACGCTGTCGTCTGCATCTACCGACCAGAGCAGATTTCAGCCTTTCAGCTTRGGACACTTTATTTTGGGCTTTATTTAGTAGCTAAATAGACAAAAGGATGCTCGGATGAAGCAGTCTGACTCTTGCTGAAATACTGAAGGAGGAGTGAGCGGAGTCATGTGCAGGTAGGGTAGAGACGGAGGAGGCGGCGCCCTGCGTGTTACGGGTGTTAGAAAAGAAAAAAAAACGGGGCGGAGCCATAAAACGAAGAGAGGAAGTTGTGAGACATTCAGTGGTTCTGAGGTGTTCAATAAACAGGAGCCCCTGCAAACCCACCCAAATGCAGGTGTTCATTGGAATACTTGAARTATTATCAAATCAAATATTTGCACCTAGTTCAATTTTACAGTACTGTAACTGTTTTGGTTGGAAAATTTTGGCTTTTCTTTGCATGAATCTGTGCATTTCTTTATGATTTCTGCCTTTTAGAAACAAAAAAAACTGAAATAGTTGTCAGTTTTCTGGACCAGGCTGAGTGTTTTMGGGCATTTCTGTGTTTGGAGGAAATGTGGGTTATGTTCTGGAGGCTGCAGCTCCACGCGGACCTGAGTTTGTCGGAGCTTGACGAGCTGTAAGTGTTTGTCAGCCTCGTGTGGAGGATGACTCTAAGTGTTACGAAGCCTGAGGGAGAGAGTGGCTCAACAAGGCCAGTTTCTGTTTTTGTGTTTGTTTTTTACTCTGTGCCAAATGAATGTCCTGGGTCCAGATGTGTTCAGAACAAGCAGCGTCTTTTGTGTTTATCTGCAGCCCACGGATAAAAAAAAGGTTATTTTTATAGCTATCCTTTTTATTTTGACTGAAAATATTGTAAATACTGTAAATAAAAAGAACCACCTGAAAACGAAGTGTTATAGTCATGTTTTTTTTAGTACTCTATATCAGTGGTTCCCAAACTTTTTATCTTCTGACCCACAAAATATTCATGGAAAAAACTTGTGACTCCAAATATTACTGGTCTGAGTACACAAACTTTGTTAATAACCCTGAAAACAAAGGCTACACATATATACTTATTTATACTTATTTTGTGTTTTTGTAATAATTACAGGGAAAATTTACATCAATTATTTTATTACCCTTTAAATTGATTTCTGAAGTGGTTCCCAAACTTTTCAGCTTTTGACCCACAAAATAACAGCAGCAGAGACCTGTGCCCACAACTATTTTTGGATGATAAACATTTGTATCGGGTGAACTAAACATGGGCATAGTAACAATATTTATTATTCTACATTTATACATTTTAGGCAACTATGACAAAAATGTAATTAATGTAGAAAATCTTTTCAGGACCCCACCTTGATGTTTCAGGACCCCACTTTGGGTCCCGACCGCAACTTTGGGAACCACTGCTCTATATAAAGTGGAATGGATTGGATAGTGACGCACCAAAGAGGATCTCTATCTTACACTATGAATTAAAGGAAAACTGACATATTTTAGTTAATAATGTAATATTAAATGGTTATTTATTCTGACCACATCATATTGAATTTTTGAAAAAAAAAATTAAACCAAAATAATTTAGGGGGGCTTTAAAAATATTTTAGGGGGGGCTCCAGCCCCCGTAAAATAAGCCTAGTGACACCACTGTTTTTCAGTCATGTTTGCAGTTTAATTTCCCTGATTTTTTTATTAAATCCTCAAACGAAAAAAACAAATTTCCTGAGCTGCTGCTGGGTTTGTTTCTGAGTCGGACAGTCTCCAGCTCTGTTGTGGCTGCAGCTGAAGGRGCGGGTCACGTGGTGTTTCTGGCCCAGAGCCCAGTGAGCCAGAGGTTAGGGACTAAACAGCTGAGGCGGTGTCTTGAGGCTGGTTTAGTATTCAGGGCATGTGAGACTCACGCAGCCGAAGGCTAACAGCCTAAAACCGAGGGCTAATAATAGCCAAATCCTCTCGGATTTAGCTGCCAAATGTTTTCAGCTCATAAAAAAGAGAGGCGGCAAATATTTTTAGATTAGCCATTGAGAAAAATAAACAATTTTTTTATGATTAGATGTGACTTAAAGGGACAGTTTTAATGTAGAGGTTGTATATTTTGTATCACTTCATTTGATGTTATGAGCAGTCAGTGTCTTACCTGCAGTAGAGTGAGTCTAACAGCTTTTCAGTGCAGAAATYTGAGCTGGGCGATGTGGCTGAAAAAATATCAATTATTGATTTATTTTATTGTTTTGCCTTTTTGAAATAAGGACCAGAAGAAACTGATGATCTTCCAAACTGTTGTTGCAACCTTTCCTCTTTTATCCATAATTTCCTCTTGAGCTTTTGCTCATTTTTTCCTTTCACTCTTCGTCATTCTTTTTTTTAAGCATTTCTGAGGCACGAGGGTGAAACATGAAACTGCTGCTGCACACGTTACTCAACAGATCATTGTTAGCTTGTACCAAAGAGGGAGTTAGTGAGCTGATGCTACCAGCCATGCTTGGCTGGGCGTCAGCTGCTGGGAATGGATTTTACGGCTTCAGTAGCTGTTGTTGTTGTTGTGTTGTTGTCACAATCTCCAGTCCCGGTTTATCTGTAGTTTTTATTTCCTACGTAAGTTACATAAACATTCATAAGCTTCCATAGGTAAAATTATCAATGTTCTGACATATTTGTTATCAACATTGATCCCGCTCAGTTGGCTRTCAGCAAGAAGGTCGCCAGATAAAATATATATAGATAAATATAGCCCCTGCCGAAATCATTCTTGCCATGTAAATTAACTTTGACAAAAAAAAATAAAACATGTTTGTAGCTTGAGGAAGCTACATTAGCTATTTTTAGCTGGTTTTAAACTATTTTAATGAGATGTTTTATTGTGTGGCTGTTGTTTCATCAGTGCTCCTCAAACGGTTGTGTGACCTGAGGAATGTGGTACTGTGGTGTACTGTGTTCACAGTAAAATAAAAACAGTGATTTACATAAAAACACAATGAAAACATTGTAATGAGATTCTCTGTGATTTTTTTGTACCATTATTAATCTTTAAGGCACGATAAAAGAAAAGAAGTGGTTCCACTTTTCCTGTGACAGTCATTATCATGATTTAACAAATGCATAAACATTCTTAGTTAAACAACAAATGAATCACAAACAGAAGAGATTGTTTCTGTCCGTTATCTGATAAAGAGAATTGAGGGGTCATCTTCCACGGTTGGAATGACCTGTCATGTCCAAAATAGAGTTCAGTTTGTGACAGAGTTCCTGTCCTCTCGTCAGGCCTGTCCGAGGCCTGCTTCGAGGCAATAAATCTTGTTTCTTCACTCGAGGTGACCCCTACAAATGCAAATCTGTCCCCGGGTTGCCAGATAGAATGGAACTTTAAAGGGGACATATTCTGTAAAATCCACCTTTTATAGCGATTAAATATATTTTGTTGTGTACTTGGAGTCTCTAGGACTAAATTTCTCCGGGGGCCACTGTTACTGCAGGTCAACAGCTCAGGGGCTGAATACCACACATGTCTATGTTTAACTAAAAATAACAGAGTAATTGAAGTAGAAAACCGGGGGTTTGGGCTTAAGAGATGAATGAACTAAAGGGCCAAACTTTGGTCACTTGCGAGCCGGATGTGGCCCACAGGCCGCCAGTTGATTAGCCTTACTCTAGAAGGTAGAAAAGTTTAGTTTAGTTTCTCCTGGTGCTGCAAAGATATCTTTATATTCCGTTTGGGACATATTTTCCAACTTGTTCCATTTTCTTCTGTTTTCTACCATGTTTTCTGAATTATTACATCAGAATTTGCGACGYAGCTTCTAAATAAGGTCTGGACTTACCAAAAACAATTCACTTATCTTCCTTCTCCTCATGTCTGATCATGTGAGGCTGGATGAACAAGTCCACCCTTGTTGACGTCTTTTAATTCGTTTGTGAATAAAGTTTCTGTACAGCTAAATAGTCCTGGACTGGTCTGAAAGCTGGAGGGGGGTCGGGGTGCGAAGCACATTGTTTAGATTTAAAGAGACAGCCTCAAAACGAGTTGATCTGAGACACATCTCAGACAAGGGGCGAAAGAGGGGATTGTGGAGTTGCAATAAAAAGGAACACAGACCAAAGCATTGCAATTCTACTTTATATGGACCCCAAAWGAATAATTAATGTGAAAAAAGAAGGATTTAAAACGTCTTTTCTGTTCACTGAATGAAACTTTGCTCACCAGACATGTTGTATACAGAACAACATCCTAAAGCACAACACTAAAAACACAAACAATATAATATAACATATATAATACATATAATAAATCAGACACATTATGTATTATATTTATTTGGTAGTTTTGGGGGTCTGTAAGTCCGGTTCTCCTGGTCAAGTCCAAACAGCAACCAGTCCACTTCTGTATAGTGACAATGACACTGACTGAGCTTCACCTGACCCTGGACCTGGACTCAGACCATTCATTCAATAAATAAATAAACAAATAAACAAACAAATAAATAAATAAATAAATAAATAAATAAAATTAGGTCAGAGGCCAAAGAGAGCGAGCCAAGTCACTTATAACGGTGGAGTTATTTTAGATGTGATGACCTCCTTCATGACTTCAGGAATACTCCGGTCACCTCAGACCCTTTTAGACCATGAAATAATGGCAAAGACAATGTTACGTTTTTCCTGTGTTTATGTGTGTGTTAGCAAAATATCTCCTGAACACGGAGACTGATTCCACTGGAACTCTCAGAAAGTAAACACCTGATGAAGGTCTGCAGCTGAGAGACGTTTGGAGTCGGCTTCAGTTAGATTTACAGACACTGAGCTTTGGGGTGGTAGTAGCTGAGAGTTGTTAACAGCAGGATCTGTGCTCGATGCGTGGCAGCAGAGGTCACAAGGCTCCTGGTCCTCCTCTCAGGTCTGATCCGGGTCCAACAGACACACAGCAGCTGATCCAAACACGACCGCCAACCTGAGCTGTTTACCCAAACACGAGCCAGCAGACCGACGTCTGCCGAGGACTGGAAAGAATCCAGTGGTGTCCTCCTCCTCCTCCTCCTCCTCCTCCTTCTCCTCT